TAAGACAAATAATTTTTGTTTGCCTGAAAGTATTGTTTTATAAAAACTACTTTCATAAAAGTTACAATCACATTTTAAAACTACTTTACAATGAGTTTCATTAATATCAATAATACTCCTTTCGGGTTTTTTTTTTGGTTGGTCATGGGGCTTGAACTCTGGGCCTGGGTGCTGTCCCTCAGCTCTTCAGCTCAAGGTGAGCACTCTACCACTTGAGCCACAGCACCACTTCCAGTTTCCTGGTGGTTTATTGGAAATAAAAGTCTCACCACAATTCTCAGATCTCAGCCTCCTGAATAGCTAGGATTGCAGGCGTTAGCCAATGGCACCCGGCTAGTAATATTCCTTTCTATCACATTAACTCCTATCTCTTATTATTATCCAGCCTATTCTCACATTCTGATATTAGAAAGTGATGCTACCTTACTGAGCTCCTCTTAAAACTCACTTTTTAGCTTACTTTTATATAACATCCAAAATACTTCAGGTTCTCAGCTTTAATGCTCTCTCCTTCAGTTGGAAGCATACACACCATAGCAGCTGTCTTCCACACTTTATACCATGATCCCCTAAGCCAATTAGTATGATCATATTTCAAATTTATAAACCCATGGGAAAAGTTTATTAACAATGTCACCTAGACATCTGTTTCTGAGAACGACAAAAGGGTTAACTTGTGCTCTCTTTAATTTTTCATCACGAAGGAATTGAACTACCCAGAATGTTTGTTTTTAATATCAGAAAAGACTTCTTGTCTCATTTTCATTACATGTTCAAGCCTCAAAAAATGCAATCCTCACTCATTTTTTCATTTGTTCACTAAATATTTACTTTCAGTGAGTTATTGGCCAATTATTGTTTTGAACAATGAAAATATAGCAAAAGACAAAAATTGCAGCCCAAATAAAGAATAAAATTCAAATAGCAGGAAAAGAAAACAGCAAAATGAATCTAGAGTATATAATAGACTGTGATAAAACTAAGAAAACCCAGTGAAAAGAAAATAATCAAGAAGTATGAGTTACTGTGTTTGTATGTGTATGGTTGGGGGGGACTTAAGACACAGTAGCAAGAAAAATACTTGCTGAGAAACTGATATGATTCAGTAAAGTCTCCAAAGACAGCTCACAGTTTGTAACTATCTTTTATTTCTCTATACCATCTGTCATATACATACATACACATACCCAAACATATTTCATTTAAATCTTGTTACATGTAAAACATGTTAAAACTGGTTTATAAAAATACTTAAGAAATCTCTAAGCCATTATCATAAATATCTAAGCCATAAATGTGCATGGTAGTCCCAAGGCAGATAAAAAACCTTAAATTTCAAAATGCTCTATAATAAAGTATGTGAACACACCTGAAGTAAAAACACATTATATTGTAGGATTCAAACAATCAAAAGCAAAGTTTTCAAGGAACCAAATACATGATCACATTACAATTTTACATACAGATCTATCAACAACTCTAAACATGAAACTAATGTTGAAGATTAGGTGAATTTCCTAAACAGCATGAAAAGTTGTAAAACTTTACTCTTTAAATATCATAGGTGTCACAGATAATATTTCCTATCCACCTTACTTTTAGAAAAGTTGAAAAGAAAATTAATGTGACCCTAGAAATAGATTCAACTTATGAACAGTAATATGAATATTAAGATAAAGAATACATACTTATTTAAATATAGTTCACTCTTTAAGTACGTTTAGGGAAACATTAAAAGCCACAGAAGTCCAGCTGGAGAATTTGTAACAGATTCAGATAAGATTAATACCTTCTTAGGTATCAGAACTGAAAATGGATGTCTGAGTGCTGAAATGAATATCATAATAATCTCCTAATTTGAAAATAAAAACCTATCAAAAGTATTAATATGACTAGTTATATAAAAGAGGTTGTTAAACAGCATATTGAAAGAATTTGATTAAATAGTCATCAACAAAGCTATTTATTTGTGCCTCCCTGAAATAAAGGTATTGAAAAGAAAATGATCAAACCAAACCTGGTCCACTTTCTGTGCCAATAAATTTTAACTAGAATATCATCAAACACACACACACACACACACACACACACACACACACTGAGTAGCTATTTTTTTTTTTGGCTACAAGAGCAGAAGTAAACACATGAAACAAAACACCCTGGTCCACAAAGCCTAGATATTATCTATCTGCCTTTACTAAAGTATTTGCCAATCACTTCTTAAAAGACTGGCAAGAACCTCACCTGTAGGAACAGTTGTGGTTTGGATCTCGAATTCATCCTCATATCATTCTATCTTTAGGATTCCAAACCATTCTCATCAGACTAATGTATTTTTAATAATAATAAAATCAATACAATTCCTAAAATGAATTTATTTCTCATTTTTGTTATATCAATGACACAAAGTAGTAAGTTTCATTGGTATTCCTTATCATGTTCTCCTCTATTACTCTTCCTTATTACCTACTCTTCACTGTCCTGTTTTGCTTTCCACATCCCTAATCATCTCTTTTACTTTCATTTTTTCCTTCTTTGTTTTTTCTTACTAAATTCCGTATATCAGATAAAACAAAGGACTTGTCGGAGATTGGCTTTGAATTCATTTAACATGATGATCTCCAGTGTTGTTTTCCTACAAATGACATAATTTTTTACTTCTTTATGGCTGAATAAACTAGTATAGGTGTACTACATTGTTTTTATCTATCCACCCACTGATGGGCACCTAAGCCTAGACGAAATTCATAACTTAGTGACTGTGAATAGTGCTACAGTATACATGGCATATAGTTATTTAATAACCTTTAAGAACATATGCAAGAGTATGGATCGATATGATAGTTCTGTTTATTTGTTTGTATGGCTTATGTTGTTTGAGACAGGATCTTACTAGCCTGCAACGCTTCAGCCTATGCTGGCCTCTAACTTGCCATCCTCCTGCCTCAGCTTCTAGAGGAGAAGGTGTGAGCCAACATATCATGCTAGTATTTCTATTTTTAAGTTTTTAGACATCTCATAGAAGGTGGTACAATCTACATCACTACAACAGTGTGTAAGGGGCTCCCCCATCCTTGCCAACCTGGTTTTAGTCTTCTACATGAGAATATCCAGTGTAATCAGCACTACCTGCTAAAGATGCTGTCTTTTTTCTAATGTATGCTTTTGGTATCTTTGTCTTCTATTCCATTAGTTTACAAAGGTTTGTTTTTGTACAGGTACCATGCTAATTTTGTTAGCATGTAACATTTTTTGAGGAATGTTCTCTTCAGAAGCATGATGTCAAGAAATCCTCAGACTAATTTCCCATTTTTAATGTGACTACCACTTAGGTAAAAAATGGGAATACAGAAAAACTTTCAAAATGTGAGCTAGATGCTGGTGGTTAAGGCCTACTTCTAGCTACTCACAAGGTTAAGATACAATGATCACAAAAAGGCCCATCTCTAATATAACAAGTAAAAAGCCAGGTTGGAGATATGGTTCAAGTGACAGAGTAGCTACCAAGCAAGCAAGCCTACTGAGTGACAAGCCCTGAGTTCAAACCTTGGGATTGGCATTAAAAAAAAAAACTTCTTTATGTTCTTATATGTACTGTGCATTATTTTAATATTTACTTTAGTCTGCCTAATTAACACAAATCTTTTTGTTTCTACTTTGCACTTAGTAATGCTAAACATAATTCCTATAAGTTACAACACTTAACTTACAATGATACTTTTATGCAGATATTTCAAAATACTCACTGAAAACTAAACTATAGAGAAATCTTTTTTAGGAAATCCCTTTAAGAAATCTTATGTTGCTGTTTTATTACCTTCACTGACTGACAACCTACATTTTATTAATTATATATTGGCCAACTGAGCTCATAAGTGATACTCATCTACCTAACTTTTTTCCCTGATATCATCTTTCAACAAGAAAGGTATGGTTCTACTATTGTGGTAAATAAAATGAAACAATTTCTTCTTATGAAGCAAAGCAATAGTTGAAAAAATACAAACCTTAAAAATATGATCTCAAATCTCTGTTTTTAACTTTTGCTTTTATTTTTATTGTTTCTTCCACTGTTAAATCTTATCCTTTCTACAAAAGTACAGAAACCCTAAACATCTAATTTCAATATGACACACTGTGGGACACAGTCAAAGAGCTACTAAGTCAGGAAAATATATGATACATGACATGCAAAATTTCAGAACTCATCTGAACTTTATAAATATAAATCTCAGGCTAAGTGCTACACAAACCTAAATCCCTTATATAAAAACCATTATTATTTATAAAGACATTTAATTATTAAAGCTAACACAAAAATATTTTCTCGGAATTTTAGAAAAGCACAACTGTAGAGAATACCCAATCAAAACAAATCATTCTTCTTTCTTCTTAAAAAAAAATCCGATTTTAAAAGTAATTCTTGGAAAGAAAATGCAATAATTAGTATATGTCTAAATAGTATATGTCTAATTTTCTCAGATGAGCAGAAAAGCTCAAAATCTATGTACATATAACCATATAAAATGATGCTAAGTGAAATGAACCCCAAGATATGGACACAAGAGGCCTTTCTTTGTTGTTGTCTTAAATGTACTATGCGATTTTTTTTTTGTTTCCTTTGTATGTTCTTCCCCCTGTGGTATATCCCCTGTTCTCACTGTACTTGATTTTGGTATCCTGCGTTTTGTATATATATTTATCTAATTTGAGGAGAAGAAGGGGAATAGCAAAATGCTGAAACAAGAACACAAGATGACCCTTGCAACAATGATACTCACAAGACAACTTCAGAGGGGTGAATTGGCAGGGGAGAGTGAGGGAGGTGGGGGAAGGAAGGGATAATAGGAGAAAAACAAAGACGGGAGTAACAATGCTCAATAAGAAATGTACTCATTACCTTACTCATGTAACTGTAACCTCTATGTATAGCATCTTCACAAGAAAATATTTTTTTAAATAAAATAAAAATAAGGGAATAATAAAATGTTCAAACTTACCAGAACTGTGGCAGTAGTCCATATGTTGTGGAACTTGGATAGTGAAGGCTACCAAATCTGGAGCTAAAAGAGATTCTGGCTTTCTAGTCTCATTGAGCCACTTGGTACTATGAAGGTCTTTAGTGTCAGAGGGACCTTGAAGCAAAGGAACCAACTTCTCTTTTCCACTGTCGCCTGAGTAAAAATAGTTATTGAAGGAAACAAAAATAAAAACTCTTCAGTAAAATGTAAGAATAGCCTGGTGACACTTGATCTTAAAACATACGAATACAAAAACATTTCAATTAAATTTCTGAATTTTAAGGATACATTTAGTTGATAATTTGTAAATCTGACTGGTAAAACTACTTTTAAAATGTTCCTAATTTTGTTGTTGTAATTGTTATTGTTTTTCATGGTACTGGCTTGCACTTAGTAGACAGGCACTCTAAAAATGAGCCATGACTCTGCTCTGTTTTGCATAGACTTTAAAGTTTCACTTTTTTGCCTGGCACATTCAGGTACATGACCCACCTATTTTACTGTTCATAATATAGATGGGATGATTATACACCCAGCTATCAGTTGAAAAGTGGGTCTCTTCTGTGTGCTGAGGCTACCTGAGAACAGCATCCTGAATCTAATTTACCAAAAAGCTAGGATTACAAGCCATGAGCCACCAGTGGCCCGGTCCATTGTTAATTCTTAAATTTATGTTTCAACTTTTGCTAATAAATGTAGGCTCTGTTCAATTTCTTTTATAATGAACTGTAATCCTAGCTGAGGGTCTGAGATCTGAGAACTGCGGTTCAAATCCAGCGGTGGGTATGAAAATCCATGAGACTCTTATCTCCAATTAAACACCAAAAAGTCTAAACTGGAGCTATGGCTCAAGTGGCAGAGCACTAGCCTTGAATAAGAAAGGTTAAGGACAGTGTTCAGACCCTGAATTTAAGCTCTAGGACTAGCACTAAAAAAAATATACAAATTTTTATTTATATATATATAAACACTCAGTTTTTAAAAATGAAATGCAATAATTACAATTATAATCTTATCTTGAAATTTAGTCTGTACTGAAAATATTACAAATAATTTAAGGAAACCATTATAAAATACCAGTCAGTAAAGCAAAGTCAATTATAACTCCGACAACATCCAGATTTTATTTAATCCTGCAATACTAATATTTTAATATTTAAGTGTCACATATAACTCCGAATTTCCCAAAAAGTATCAGAAAAAATGTTATTTTTCCCCTTTGTAAGTATTCTTAAAGCTGCAAGGTTCGTTTCTTAAATAAAATTAATTTGTTAAAGTCAATAAGTATCATCCTGGCACTATTAAAAAATTTTAAGGCAAATTAAAAAAAAATTAAAACCTCTGATTCATAGGAACAATGAGTAAATTCTTGTTTCAGTAACGCTCCTTGTAAAATGCAAGGCCAATTCTCCTATACAGGCAATAAAGTTTTACACGATCCAGCTGCACATACCTGGGGCTTTGGCACAAATTTTTATTGATCCCATGGTCCCAGAGGCACATTTGACCAATGATGTGCTGCAGTACTTCAATTCAAGATTCTGGATTGAGCCCTCAAGAGTTGGCAGGGGATTCTTAGATTTCACACCTAATAAAAGAAAACTGCAAATGTACTAGCCGATTGAATTTAAATAATTTTTATACTCCTTCACCAAGGCATTTAAACTTAATTATACTTTAATTATCTACCTCAGATGTTCTTATGGTATTTGTGTTAAGTTTCAGAGTTCAGTGTTTAAAAGGTGAAAGGATATAATTTTAAAATAAATGGGCTGAACTCTCATAACTATACTTATACAGTCAGCTCTTCATTAATCAAGTTCAAGGAAAAAAAGCAAATGTACAAATATTTACCTTAAAAACAAAAGAGGTTTTTAAATCATATTTGACTTTATAATTTTATTTTTGAAGCATTATTTATTTTGGTGGAGATATTTATAGAGAAAGCTACCAGAGTAATAAAATGTATTGGTCACATGGAATAAAGAGATATAAAATAACAAGGTTCTTAACTAAAAGCACATCTTATAAGCAAAAGAAACTAAAGGAATTTTATAAATTAACCAATTTCATCACATAACAAAAAAGGTAAATATTAATATATCTATTGCATACTACTTGGTAAAGGATAAAGGTAACAATTACCATAAAAATGGTTGATTTGAAAACTTGATCTGAAGGGTAAAGGCAGAGAAGCCTAAAGAACATTGTTCTGACAGTACTGGGGATTAATCATAACCATTCAACATTATCATCATCATCATCATCATCATCTAATCAACATTAACTGAAAACTTACTATGTGTTATGCCTATAAAAATCACTCCATTCTCACAAAGGCCTCTAATATAGACATTATTATCTAAAAACATCTGTTGTATTAAGGCACTAGGTTTGTAGAAATTTATTAGATCACGAATAGAATACTAAAGTATCCTCAAGTCCAACAGTAACAACTAGTAGTATCTAAACATATGCAATAAAACATACAGAAACATACAGGCTGAAAAAAAAATGGTTGCTCTAAAAAACAGTGTTGGTTACAGGAAGGTAACCCCTTTTGTTATAAGCTGTTCAAAACCGTAATTTACTAAAAACAAAGCAAAAGGTTATCCAGAACCATCTAGTAGCCAAAACCCATGAGAGTGTGTTAGTTTCTTGCAAAACATACTCTTGCCATATAATCTTGCAATTGGGTACTTTAGTATTTACCCAAAGGAGTTAGAATTTAAACCCACACAAAACCCTACACACCAATATTTATAGCAGATTTATTCATAATTGCATGAGGCCCTGGGTACTATACCTAAAAATGCAAGGAGGAAAGAGAGAGAGGGATCAAAACAGGCTATAGACTATAGGATTCTAAGTATATAGCCTTCTAGAAAAAGTGAAGTATGAATACAATAAAAAGATCAGTAACTACCAGAGATTGGAGCAAGCAGAGAGGATTTTTAGAGCTGTGAATACACTGTATGGTCCTGTAACTGTTGAGAATACACATTGTGCAAACCCACAGGATGCACAACACTATGAGTAAACCTAACATAAATATGGACTTGCATGATTATGTGCCAATGTAAGTTCATCAGTAAAACAAATGGAGAAGTTGGTATTGGGGGAGGCCATGTATATGTGGGATAAGTCAGGGAAGGGAAAATGAGAAATCTTTGTACCTTCTTTTCAATTGTACTGTGACCAAAACTGTTCTTTTCAAATTGCCTTTTAAAAATGTAAACTAGTAATAACAACCTGCTCTTTTCCAAGCTTATTTACTTAAATTTGATCAGTCAACTCTATTATGATTCCATGTATAAAAAGGTGAACATATCTTGGGGTTCATTTCACTTAGCATCATCTTGTATGGACATAAGAGGTCTTTCTTTGTTGTGTTTAATGTACTATGTGATTTTTTTTTTGTTTCCTTCCCCCATGGTATATCACCTGTTGTCACTGTACCCTGCATCTTGTCTATACATTTGACTAATTTGGAGAGGGGAAGGGAAAGAACAAAACGCTAAAACATGGACATAGGATGACCTGTTGCAACAATGATACCCACAAGACAGTATATTGGAAATGAACTTTACAATTTCGGGGGTGGGGAGAGGAGTGATGAAAGTGGGGGAGGGAAGGGCTAATGGGAGAACAACAAGGGAAGAGGTAACAATGCTCAACAAGGAATGTACTTGTTGCCTTAATTTTTTAAAAAGGTGAACACTTAGCTAGGCACTGGTGGTTCACACCTATAATCCTAGCTACTCGGGAGGCTGAGATCTGAGGATCACAGTTCAAGCCAGCGTGGGCAAGGAAATCTGTGAGACTCTTATTTCCAACAAACCACCAGAAAACAGGAAGTGGTGCCGTGGCTCAAGTGGTAGAGTGCTTGCCTTGAGCTGAAGAGCTGAGGGACAGCGCCCAGGACCAGAGTTCAACACACACACACACACACACACACACACACACACACACACACACACACACACGTGCGTACGTTAGCATATAGATGTAGCATGTCATTTACAACTCCTCCCTTCTGGTCCCCACCTCCTCTTGGTGATTAAAAGCCAAGTTCAGTGATTATTAAGGTGGCCATAGTAAGCCATGCCAATGTACATATCAAGTGCCTGTTTTGCTCTTTGCTTTTCAGTTTTTCTTTCTTCTTACTCCTCCTTCCTTCTCCTCCTTTCTTCTTTTTTCCCTTCCCTCTTCATCTTCCTCTTCATCATCCTGTTCTTCAATTTTATTTTTTAGAACTAGTGCTATAAGTTTCCTATGTAAAAAGAGGTTATAAATGAATATTATCCTCCCTAAGATTCCATCCATGATAAATGAGGGAGCCACAGGATATGCAATGACATTAAACATATTGTGATACTCTATAATAAACACTCTATTTCATCTTCTCATCTGCAAAGTAAGTTAAGTCACTAGCTGCCTTAAGAGTAATCACGAGGGGCTGGGAAGGTGGCTCAGTGGTAGAGCATTTGCCTTGCATGCATGAGGCCCTGGGTTCGATTCCTCAGCACCACATAAGCAAAAAGAAAAAAGCCGGAAGTGGTGCTGTGGCTCAAGTGGTAGAGC